TGTGTTAGAGTATAAATGGAATAAAACGGGTAATCGACATTTGTGTTGATTCAGGTGAGAAACAGTCTCATCGACTATTCTGATTGTAATTCTGATTTGTCTATGTGGTTATTCAATTACAGTATTTCTACTACATCAGCACGTGTCTGAATAGAATTTTCACCTAACCTCCCAATCGCCTCGGTGACTCCTAAGACTCTGATTTCGAGACTTACATATAAATACAAAATAACTTGATTTTCTTATAAATCGTTTTTTCGATCACTGTGCTATGGAATCTAAAAGGGAAGTTAATCAAAAGTCCGTTTGAAAGTATCGAGAAACGAGGCTGCACTGAGAGAAATTCTGTTAAAATTATAGTTATTTTCATCTTCAATTATATCTTCATACCAGTTTTAACTAACAAAAAAAAATAGTAATAATATGCCCGTAGTAACAATGCCGATAATAACATATATATATATGAAGTTATTATTACTTACACAATAGTAACACACACTTGCTAGAACAATGACTTTTTTGACTGTAATTCTTTTACTTACGCGATTAGAGTTACAAATACTAAAAGTTGGTTTCTCAGATTGCTCGATCAACGATCCTGCGTGAATCACATAGATCTAGCCGAACGGTTGGCAATGTATTGTTTCGAATGCTTGATCGTGACGTTGAGGCGTTTGCATGCTCCGATCTTCGCGCGTAACGAATAAAGCGGGCCACATTACCGTGTCATCAACGAGAGCGCGGTGCGCGATCGCGATGACGATTTTGCTCGCCGTCTCCACCTCCTCGTCAACGTAGCAGACTCGTAGCTTTCCGCGTCGCAGGCAGAGCCGGTGTCACTAGCTCCACGAGCATACGATATATCATCGATGCGGCAGAAGCTTTTAAGCTGTCCTGAAAATACCGACCGGCTGTACGAGTTATTAATGTCCCGCCTTCTTATAAAGTACTCAATTTTCGTTCTGTAAGGAGGAGAAATATTAGCCGTAATACGGCCACCGCCGCACAACGAAACGCCGCAGTATATCAGACGGGCGAAAATTACAGCGCCGACGAAGATGTTAATATCGGCGAACTTTATCGCCCGCGCCTGCCGGAAGCGCGCTCGCGGCACACATTGTTTTGACAAAAGGGCGACCGGGCGAACTTTACGGCGGAGTATGCGAAACTCCGCTGGTAGACGCCGGACGAGCACTGCCCTTGGACGATGTGTGGCCGATAAATCGACGAGGAGCCGAAAACTGGTGAGTTGTAGTTCCGTTCGGCTCTCTTCCTGCGGCGAGGCAATCTTATTGTTTTAATATCGTTCGTCTTTCGCGCGTCCGTGTCTGCCTATGTCATCCTATAACCAGACGAAGAAAGTTCAAATCGTTTTCGTCCTCCGATGTGTGATCGTGAGTGCAAATCAATTTACACGGCCCAGGTTTGTTAGTGTAGGCAACTTCAGGATACTGGGCTGATATTTAAATGAATATATTTAGAACGCGGCGTGCAAAATATGTGACGTTATAATTAACTTGCAGTGTAGTTTAGCTCGAATAGCTCAATGGTTTGGATATGTGATCCGACACGACAGTGATTATACTTTTTACTCCCAGTCTAATCGACGGAATTCAAAGAGAACGATGCAGTCCTTCGATCAGTTCTCCACTCAAGCTCGATTATTCTAAACAGTCCCTCGTTTGTAATATTCGGTACACTGTTCATTAGACGATCTGGTCTCTCTCGCCTCTTGTCTCGTACTAACTTGACTTCTTATATTTACAAACAAGATAGCTAGCTATTCAACGAATGTACATATACGTTAAAATTAAAGATCGAAGCCTACAGATGGCTAGAGAGCGAGAGACATAGTGAGAGAGTGAGAGTGATAGAGAGAGAGAGAGAAAGAGAGGGGAGGAAGACTCGTCAAGGGTGCTTTAAAGCGTCGTTTCACGCAACGTGTCTTTTGAGATCAATAGAAGACTCTCAGTCGTCGACTCGCAGTAAAAGAGTAACTTCTGCAGCTGAGCGAACACAGCGGCGACGGAGAATAGGAGCTTTATGTCATCGATGTCACGTATATACGAGAGCGTTACGTTATAACGGCGCTCGAAACTCGCGAAATATTCTCGCTCTTACTCGCCGCGCGATGAAACTTGCATTCTAGTCAGTTTTTGTAAGCGGCAATAGCAGAAGTCGGCTGGTGATACATAGAAACCGCGAGCGTGCGCGCGCGATACCCACGGATCATTCATGGGGGAGGTGTATTGGCAAACTTTTCGTGGTGGGGGTGTTGTATGCAAAGCTCGGTCCACGGGTGGTACTCTCGGGGATGATTCTGAATCCCCGCATCGCCGTGGAATACGCGGGGCCACACACTTTAAGCAAACTTTTCATCCGAAGGTCTTCCACGGCGCTCCTCGCATTCGGTTCCTTTCATACCCCGTCGTCCCTGGCAGGAGCTTGTTTATAGCACCCTGTAGATACCGTAAAATAGGAAATAGCACCCCGGGGGCGAGACGGAGTTTTTCCCGCGACGTGATTGGAGTTAAGACAAGTCCTTCTGTCCGCCGGCGTCGCGAGGCCGTCTTCCGCTCGTCCTCGCTCCGCGCCGAAAAATAAAGCACCATCGCCGGTCCCGAGTTATTTTAGCGACGAACGCGACGCGGGAAGATGCGATGTCGCTTTTTAAGCGCGCATTTATCCTCGTTGACATTTTGCCCGCGTAAGATGTCGTCGCCCGGCTAATTGTAACCGATCGCCGTCGTTCCGTTTTGCTTTGAGCACGAGGCTTACAAGCGGGCGCTTTTCGGGGGACCTAAATTACACGAATTCCTTTCTCTCTCGCGCACGCGTTCATACACAGGCCGGCCTGTAAGCATCGCCTTGCGGTAAATCTTTCCTCCTGCTGGCCGTTTGAAATTGATCGTATATTCGCGCTAAAGTGACGAGCGCTATTAATATTTCACTCGCAGCGCAGCATGGTATCCTCAAAATTCATCGTGTATTCCAAAGTCAATAAGCAAAATCCTTGGAATGACTGGTAAGCTCAGATTTACTGCGCGGTGATGTTCTTAGAAGCCGCCCGTAGCGGTTCTCGGAGGCCCAGAGCGGTTTTGAATAATAGCGACTAATTTCACTTCGCGAGAACAGGTAGGATGATTTTGAGACCGTCAGGAAAACGGGATAATGTGTGTATTAATTTTCCTCTGATAAAATTGACGGTTAAAATGGTTGAGACTGATAATAGAAATAACTAAGGAACAATGCACACTCATTCACACACGCACGCGCAATATGTAATAATTATTTTAAAAAATATAACACAGTCGTAAGAGAGAGTCAATTTTGTTCCATTTAATTTCATAAATTCTTTATTCACTTGTTGAGAGTGCAACATCGATTTTTTTCTTTTTAACCGCTTTATTCCATATAGAGAGACGTAAACGCGTAATTTTAATGAAATAATGCAGCTCTCTTGAAATTGTACGCTGTATGTTTTACCATTTTAATGCTTCCGACGTGTAAATACCTTAACGAGGGGAGTGTTACGTTGACTCAATTAAACCATGAGAAGGTAACGTCATGAAACGAAACGCAGTTGACGTTTGATTCGCATAATTGACTCGGAATAAGTGAAGTATATATGCAGCGTTAAATTGCTTAGGACTATACGTTTATTTACGTAGACTCCCGGTCGACGTGGGCGTCGCTGTTATACGTTTATTTACATCTGCACGTCGTAACTTGCGATTCGAGAAATCCTGCCTCCAACTTGCAAACGAATCTCAGGTGTTGATTAAAAAATTTCCTCGGCGACGCAACTTCTCGGCTACTCGGTGCGAGAAGTGCGAGTCATTGAAGCGGACGGTCGTTGCAGTTTAATTTTTAATGAGGCGCCTCGCCTTCGTGTGATAAGCGCGGAACATTAAAATATTAACGACAAATTGGCGACGTTCAGGAAATACAATAGATTAGCGCATTCCGGAGCTCCGCGCGGACTTTTTATGTAGAAACGGGCTCATGTCACGTACGAGTAGTTTTTTGGAGCAACTCGTGCGATAGTCGTATGACGATGTATTTATGTACACTTTTAAAGTAATTAGAGAGAATTTATTTCCCCACAATCTTCCCTTCATTTAATACACGAAATATACCTTTTACATCTTCTATTTATCATTTTATATTCTAATTATTTGTTAACGTAAAGAAATATATTTTCCTGTTAGGTACGAGATGCGTTATTTTGTCCAAAAGAAAACATTATAACCTTTATTTTACCGAATGTATGTGTGTGTATGTGTGCGAATGTCACATATAATATTTTTCAATCGAGAAACAAACGGCCATAAATAGCGACGGAAGCGCAGTCGAAATGTAGAGCAACATGCATCCAACGGTGGAATCGAGAAAATAAATCGACAGTCACTTTTATTATTAAACAGAACTAATGGCAGCCGATGGCGTAGGAGTCACGGTGAATGAGTAAACGTCGCGACGATCAATTATTAACCACATTTAGAAACGCAACTCGTAAAATTCGATCAAGGATCGTCCCACCAGGGGGTCTTCGTCGATTCGCCGTGAAAACAATCAGCCGTCTTAAAGTTCGGTCGTCCGGTAAGTCCGCGATCCGGATCCCCGATAGCCCGATGGTATCGCGAGCATCCCTTATCCGGACGCGCCCGTGATTCGCGCGGTTTCGATTCGACAGCGCACGTAGTGGAGTGTGCGGGCCGCGTAGGAGCGCCTGGGGTGGCGTCGTAGTCGTCGTCTCTCTCTCTCCCTTCCTCCCCCCGGCAGAGTGGGGTGTGTGGATGAGGAGAGGCAAAGCGCGCGGGTGGCGTGCGGCGTCAGTGATGGTGGGGTCGGCGCGGCAGGGGAAACGGAGCACGCGGCTTGCCGAGAGAGGCGGCAGGCAGGGGGGTACTACGGTCGCTACCACGCCGGTAGGGGTGAGAATCCCTCGAAAGTCCGACGGTGCTCTCTCTCTCCACTCTCAGTCCCGAGAGCGGAGCCAGAGGCGAGAGAGCGCACGCACTCGAAGCTCGCTCGTCGTTCCGCGTCTCTCGCGTCTCTACGCGCGCGCTAGTCGATCATCTGTTCGTTGTGCCGTCGGTCTCACACGTCGTGAGAGACCAGCCGGGACGCGCGTCCTGCACTCGTTCTCGCGCGGGTAAGCCGTCGTCCTCGCGATTTCGAGGTGCTGTGAAGTCTGGTGTCCGGGGATTTACTCCGATACCAGTGCGTCGGTATCAGATGTTCCCGCGACCGTCCTTTCCCTGCGTCGCGCAAGGGAGAGGTTCGGTCGTCGCTTCGCGAAAGTGTCGGCTTCTCGTCGGGGAGAGCCGCTCTCCCGAGCTCGGTGCGAGCTATCTCTCGAAAGGATGCTGCGACGAACGGTTCTCCGCGTAGGGTGTTCTCGCGTGTGCTCGGTCTAGCGGGTGGTTTCATCGAGGAGGGCGGGCTGCCTGACGTTTCGCTCCGAATTCGCTCGTCGCCGGAGTATCGCCGATCAACTCGCTCGAGCAGAGAGAGAGAGAGAGAGAGAGAGAGCTGGCCGATCGACTATGCGTCCGTGTGATATTCGAACGGGAATCCTCGGAGGGTCACCGGTTATCGGGCCCTCGCGCCGAGAGAGAGAGAAGAGAGTCTGAGGGAGGGGAAGCGCATCCGCGGATGGAAACACGAGAATCGTACTCGCGCGAGAAATCGATCGTCACGTGCTCCAGACGGTTGCTCCGGAGTTCGCGTGCCGATCGCGAAGGCCCGTCACGTGCCTTTCGGACGCGCGGAGGGTGGGCCGACGCCGTCGGCCCTCGTTTATTCTCGCGTCCGTTGCTGCCTCGCCGAGAGATGCGTCTTCGATCTCTTTCAATCCCGCGATACGCGTTGCAGCGCGCTTTCGAGATGCGAAACGACGAAGAGACGGCGGAGCCGTGTTGCTGCGCTACGTGCGGATTGCGCGCCGTTCCATTCGCTCCTGCCGCGTTGCCCTCCGTAAATAACGAAAAATGACAAAAAAGAGAGAGAGAGAGAGAGAGAGTGTGTGTGCGCGTGAGTAGGTACGAGATATTGTGGCTACGATTTGACGCGAATGGAATTTACGAGCGAGAGAGGCAGTCGGCTGGCCGTGACGCGCGGCTTGCTCTTAAAATAAATGTCGACGATACACGTTGTCGCGCCGGGCTCGAATATTCATCTTTTCCCTTTTTCGGGCGCGCACGCGTGATTTTATCCCGACGGGATGCGACGGGACGGCAGGACCGACAGCGGGGCGGAGGGAAAACGCGAAAGCAGACCCTTGCATGCGCGGCGGCTACGAGAACAATCGTAGTGCAGAAACAACACGCGCGGGGGGAGACGAGGGTCGGGACAAAGCGGTCCCGCTCGCGCACCATGCATATGCACGAGGGACTTTGTGTACCCGGTTTGCGGGCCGGTGATTACAGGTGGGAATAAACCGATACCGGGATACGGAGCCTGCCTAAATACGCGCCGTGACCCACTTCCGTAAGTTTCGGACATTCGCCGTCCTAATCCTACCCGGGCGGTCTCTCTCTCTCTCTCTCTCTTCCTCCCTCCCCCTCCCTCTCGACGTAATATCAAATATCAACATTTGCACATCGAGTCGTGCGCGCGCGCGCGTCCTCCGAAGGCGAGAACACGACGGAAGTTACGAGCGCGCCAGTTAATTTTACGAAGCGGACCTCGCAAATGGGAATGTATCGCGCGAACTTTCGGGGCGTGCGAGCGCGTTTAGTCGCCTATCGTTTCGGAGTACCGGGCAAGATAGCGGGGAGACGAACCGTCGGGCCAGGGAGAAAACGCGTCGTCGTGCCGTTTTCGATGCGGGCGTGCGCGAAAAGGAGGAAAAACATCCTCGGGGCGCGACGCGCAAAATGATTGCCGTAATGCGCGAAAAACAAGCTCGTCGGTCCGCCGCCATCCCGCCCGCCGGATTATCCTAATTACGCGCGCGATATCCCTGATATCAATTGGAGCGTAAATTAGCGCGGCCGCGCGCACACAGCGAGGCGATAATTTATGACCGGCTCTTTTCCTTTTTTCAACATTCCACGAGGCACGCCGAGCGTATCGGTGTATCAATCTACAAGTACGAGCGGCCTCCCGGGACGATCAATTTAAAAGGCCGTCCGTTTGCGCGAAACGCGAAGATGATTTATGCCCCGTCCCGAATACCGCGCACTCGAATCGCCCGTGAAGGGCGGATTTCGGCGCGGCCCGAAATTATCCGATACCTCAATTAGCCGCGTAAATCATCGCCGCTCGAAGGGCAAACGTTAAATGACTAACGCCGAATACCAATTTTCGCGATTGTGCGCGACTGTGATTTTCTACGAGATTCGATTGCGCTGAATGAAAACGATGATGACGTCGTCACGGTTATTATATGCGTTTGTCGTTATTCCGGCGATTTCACGATCGCCCTTTGTGTCAAAAGAGCGCGCACGGTTCGACGATCCACCCTTGTCAAATACGGCATTCGTTCGGCTTTTACGCACGTGTGTGTTTGCCGGGGATTCGGCCACTTGTCATATGCGCGCGTTTGTTTTAATAACGTGTCACGTGTTATGTTAAACATCCCCCGTATCGATTCATTTGAATAACCGGAGTAGACGCGCCCGCTGCTTCGCGGCGCTTCAGCCACTGTCGTCGTGTTAATCGCACACGGAAAAACGAATTCGATCGAATTCACCTGACGACGAACAAACCGAACGCGTTCCGATCGGAAGGATCCTATTGAATTTCCAGTTTCAGGATGAAATTCGGTTCTTATAACCGGAAATTTCGTTTTCTTCGAGCAATACACGTTTGATTCGCTCGTCGTCGAGCGAATTCGAACGAACTTTTCTTCCCGCGCGCTCCTTTCGTGCGCAACGAATCACGCGAGCGCTCGACCAATCAGAGTGCGCAACGTCCTGATGTTCAGTCTCGGCGGGATAATCGCGTTCGGCGGTTAACAATTGACAACGCGGTACAACAATCGCGCGATATCGCAATTTCGTCGAACACCTCGCGACCGGAGACTCGTCCGAGTGCACCACGTCGCACCAGGGTGACGCGAGAATGCGGACACGAGCGAGAACGCGAACCGAGGGAGAATAAATCCGATTGCTAACAACGACTCCGCTAAACGATCGACGAGCTCCCTCTTCGCGAAACCGGGAGTTTCTCCGGGCGATTTGAGTCGCGTCGCTTACAACGACGCTTTAGTGCCGAAGTTTAACAGGTCCTTCACGGTCGGCGTAACGCCCTGGGGGATTCGATCGGCCGCGCCGAAGCCCCGATAATCGGATTCTCCGTCGCGTTCGGCGGCGACGAATCGACGACGATCGCCGCCATAACCTCAAAACCGTTTTCGCGATCTCTCTCGTAAGAATGAACAGCGAGCGTGAGTCGCGCGCTCGCTTAGTCTCGAGAGCTCGGCTATTCTCCGGCACGGAGCTCGCGGTTCGACGCGGACGGATCGCGGAGGATTCGCGACTTAGGATCGTCGTCGCGCAGTCGGGAAGCCGCTTGACCCGGGGCTGCCGGTAAATTGCAGATTCCCCGTAGCGCGTCTCGCGCGCGGCCATTCTCCGATCGGTTGTGAAGTGCCACCTCGAAGAGAGAGAGAGAGAGAGAGAGAGGAAGCCAGGCAGGCGGTGCACGAAGAGAAATGCGTGACGCCGACGAGAGGCTGATGTCCGGCGTCGCGGGGCAGCTTCGCGTGGCGGTGCATCGTCGATGCTGAATCGCGGCGCGTCCGCGGTAGTGCTCGAGCGGAGTCTCGGATGACAGCCGGAGGACTCTTTTCGCCGCTGCGCGAGTGACAGTGAGATCCTCGAGCGCTCAGCTGGGAAGGGACCAGTCTCGGCGCACGGATTCGAGATTCACGCCGTCGGTGATCCGCCGAGAGAGAGAGGACTGCTGTAACGTGAACGGGTGGTGATCGGTAGTGATGCCGTGATGGGCTGCAGCTCGAGATCGTTCTTCCTGACCACGCTTCTCGCGGCTGGATTACTGTCGATTGCGCTGTTCGCCGAGCTCACCTGCGCGACACGTAAGTACACCTTTGAATTAGCCCGCCGGGGATAAGTTCGCGCGCGCGTTACGTAAACTGACTCGCGCCGAGACAACTCGTGTCTAGGAGTTAGTTGTCCTTGACGAGGGAGTTGAATGGTTAAGGACAGTTCTCCGCTGCACGTACTTCTGGCCGCCTGGTATGAAACGCTCGATTACGAGACCGGATAAATCAAATCTGGATCGTTTTTCGGCCGTTTACTCTTAATAATGAATAAGTTGTACAACAATTGTCATAACTCACACGATCGGTACACGCAGGAAAATACTGCAATAAGAGGATTTGTTTTTTTTTTTATTAATTTGCAGAAATTGAATCTTCTCATCGAGCCTGTATTCTGTATTGACTTTATTCTGAAGTCTAGCGAAAAATGTTCAAATTGTTTGGAAACCAAGTGTACACTAAGTTTCAAAACTGATTTGAATATTTTTTCCTCGACGCGATTCGCAATGATAGTCCGATGACAGAACTCGTTTCTGAAAAATAAGTTCTCTCATTGGATTATCGGCTGCGTTCTAAACTGCATTAAGAGAGAAACGTTCGAACCATTTTGAAACGCAGTGTACAAGCACATTTTTACGTTAAGTTCTAAGAAACGCTCGTGGCACTTTTCGCTTCTCTCACGAGGAACACGATCGTGTTCCTCGAAACCCGAAGAATTCACAAATTTGTTTACTTTCAAATAGCTCGTATAAACATTTACGAGAGATACGTACATTCGATTTGACTTCATAACTCTGCGGGATGACCGCTTGATTGATCGATTATACACAACGTTGTGTGCTTTAATTACTTCGCCGGCGCAAAAGATCGCAGGGATGCGAATAAATTGCACATTAGTCCGCGCATCTGATAAGTTTCGGATTCGCGCGTTCACGTATCGATATCCAATCTGTCCTCATTTGTCACACCGTTGTATTTCGCGTTTCGAAAATTTTTATCGGGATCCCACGGCAGCGGCGGCGAGTTAGCAATGCATGAGCGATTGCATAATATAACAGCAATTTTGACGCGGAAAATTTTAATGACGACGCTGCGCTCTATAAATGAAGGCGCCGCGTTAACTTCGGCCTTCCGTGCGCGTTATTGCGTCTCCCGCCTTTGCGAAGCTCCATATCGTCGTTATCCACGCCAAGGGCGAGATTGCCATCGCGAAATGAGCGATAAGTGAATACATAATTGGACTGCAATGTCGACGTGCGAGATTTCAGCTATGCAGTCAAATAATGCGCGCACGCGTGCAGTAAAATACGCGTTCATAAAAAAACAGTCTGCATCAGCATAGAATATTCTACGTCCTGCTTCCAGCGCAGATGCGATCTTAGGATGCGTCATGAAAATTGCAAAGGAACGAATGGAATTTTCTCTTTTTCGCATAAATTCGAGTTCAGCGAAAGAATTAAGATTATTGCGAATGAAAGAAGATAGCGAATGAGAAGAATGAAAAGAAAAAAAAAACAAACAAACAAACTGGATGTGAGACCGACCTCATAAATACATTACGAGAACGCGAAACTTCGACCCTTTTCGATGTTATTTTTCCAGAGTGCATTTTGTTTGAAAACCCGGAGAATAATTGCGGTGATAAGTTAAAAGGCGCAATAAAAGCGAATACGTGAGAATTATGAAGTAAAAATTTCAAACACAGCCTGACGCGCGTCGCGGCTACAATTAGTCAGACACACGATATATCTTCTGGAAATTCGTTACACGCCGAAAAGGCTTTTACTCGAATTTCTGAGGGAAGCGGCGTTTCCGCGATGTTGAAAAAAAAATGTAATCCAAATCTGTCCCTGCCGTTTGAAGCGCTCGGAATTACGCGCTCGGAGATTACGCGCGCTGGCGCAATATAAATTCGCCGCTTTGTATTATTTTTCTGTCCGCGCGCGCTCCTCCCTCTGTTGCCCCCCTCCTCCGAAAACACAATCGCGTAATTGCGGCCGATTAGCATTCCTCGCGCGAGAAGATCGCGGAGATTCCGTCGCATCCGGCCGCGGAAGCCTCTCATTAGACCGCGCAACGGAACCTCGATGGGTCTAATTATTTTCCGAGTGCCTCCGAAACTCGGGAGATTCGTATTTCGGGTGATCCCGAATCGGGGTTACGCGCATCGATATCCCCTTCCCGATTTCTCTCTTGGTCTCCCGACTAATCCACATTCGTTTCCCTTATATGCCGCTCTCAGCTTGTCGCGTGCATCCGCGCATGTTCCCGCCGCCGATACACAACCGCAAACAGTCTTCCTCTCCTCCCTGCGAGCGGCAGCCGTTCCCAAAATAGATACGCGCAATCATATTTTGCGAATTGTGCGTGCGAGTTGCCCGAGATAGAGAGTCGTCGCACTGGAGAAGTACCGGGGGGACTCGTATCTACAGCCCGAAAAGTAAGAGGAAACATTCGCGTTCGACTTTATGAGTCGTGCGAAAACGTTTACGGTTTTCGCGCGATAACAGTCGCCGTGGAGACTTATTTTACTCGCTTCTCGTGCGACATTATCGGCACGGGTTCTTCCCATCCTTACACCAGCAAAAATACGTTCTGTTTTTGTATGTATGTGTGCGCGTGAGACGAAAGAGAGTCGAGTATATTTATTAAATTTACTCGGTCATGCTCGTGCGTGTTGGATAAATTTGCTAAGCATGATATAAGGTCACACATCTGCACCGGCAACACGACGTAAAGAACAAAGTTACGCGCACATATCCATACGTTGGAATAAATTCCAACTTTGTATTTGCTCTTACGATGTGCGACGTAAAAAAATTCCAACGCGCGCTCCGGTAGCGAAGAATTAAAAATTTCGTCGAATTTTCGCAATCGAATCCGGCCTCTGCGATCGCCTCGGCGAATCGCTGGCGGCGATTTTGGAAACGATTAAAATATTATGAAAAAAAAAAGAAAAAAAAGAAAAATAGTGAAAAAGAGGGGAAAAAGAGAGCAACGCGGAGCGAAAACCCGGGAGCATCGCGGCGATGATGAAATGGCCTGTTTAGCCGAGAGTGTACGCGGCGTAACGTGAAAAGGCAGGGGCGACACAACGGAGTATAATCTCCCCTTCCCTGCTGTCGGATCGTTGGGGGATCCAGGGGTTGTCTCGGTGGGTCACGACGGGTGAGAGAGAACGCGCGCTTGGACGAGAGCGCGAGGGGGAGGGGTGGTGCGACGACTTCTCTCAAAGGACGCTGAAGCGGGCGAATGGGATGCGGACATCGTTGTCACAGGCAGGCGTGAGGTCGCTGATATTCCCTTGTCTTTTATTAAGGAGGGCTTCCTTTCTGCGTTTTGCGTCGTTCTTCCTTTCACGCGCGTTGCTCTGTTTAGAGACCCGCCGATGTTCTTTTCCGCGCTTCGTTCTGTCCATCTCGTCGCCGACACCGCCGCAGTATACCCCTGCGAATAATGCTATAATTATTTCCCTTCTCTCTTTCCTCCCACCGTTTCTTTTTTCCTTCTCTCTCTCTCTCTCTCTCTCTTTTTATCGCTCGCTCACTCTCTTGTGTCTCTTTGCTCGGAGGTCCGCTCTTCTGTACTCTCTGCGGACGATTCTTTGCGGCATCCTGTCCGCCCCGGCATATACAGTTTTTTCTTGGTCATTAACGCGCAACGGACCGTGCGACGAATGTTTAATTTCGACTTCCTCGCGTTCCGCGAAAAATTGGCGGAACTTGGTCCGCGGTATTTTTCACTCCCGCTCGCGAGCTTGTCGTTGGAATTGAAGCCCGGGGAGGTTCCGCCACTTGTTAAGCGTCGAATTAAAAAAATTTCACCGACGACGGCGGCAGCGCAAGCGTATCCCGGCGCGACGGAAAATATTGCAAAAATGCTATCGAGCCGAGCGTACGGTCGGAACGATCAGAGTCAAGATATCGTTGCTTCGAAAAAGGGGATGTGCAAGTGTCGAATTGGTCGCAGACACGCGTCTACGCAACGTCGCGGGGAAATATTCTCACGTGGCACTTGACACTTCCCAGACGCATTTTAATGTGACATACTGAAGTAAGAAACCACCCCAAAGCAACTTCGTCTTTTTCTTACATATGACAGGTAACTGAAATGACTTAATTGTGTTTAAACGGAAAATTACTCTAACTGTAATTTCTTTCTGCGCGAGAAATAAAAATATCCATTCCGCTAGTATGCGAGAAATTCAAAATTAAAAATCGAATCGAAAGTGACTGCAGTGTTCCAGATAAGAGTTAATTTCGATGCAGCGATGGAGTTCGACGTGCCGACACGTTACTCCGTTTCCGAAAACATCTGGGAGACGCCGTTTGCCTCATATCGTTCCTCCATACATGATGGAAAACTTTCGCGAAGATATTCGCCAACGACCTCGTTTCTTTCCGCGCTCTCGGTCCTCCGGAAGAAAACTCTCGTGCTCTTTTTTCCGAGCGAGCGACGTCGCAGTCGTCTTGAATTCTCCGCGTTTATTCTGGACCCTCTCTTTGAGAGAGAATCGCATATAATTATATTTGTCTCGACGTAATGTAACGTTATCTTTTTTCCTCCACCTCTTCTCTTCCCCCCGCCTTACCCTTCTTCGTCCGATGTTCTCAATGAGATGCGTTCGATTTTACGTAGGAGCGTCGTATAGAAATTTCGCTTTGATCAAAAGCGCCGCTTTAACGGGCCCCGTTCTAAGGCCATCTTTTAAAGTACCATTTACTCTCTTTCTATGTCGCGATATTGGCTCTGTGAAAACACACGCCGGCCGTTACAGATGTACATGTTAAACGATACGTTCGCTTCGTCCACCCGCTTCCTCCTACCCTTTGTAGCAGCCGGCTATGTGTATCTCAGGATCGCTGCTTTGTTCGACATTTTTCTTACTTCACATTCTCGTTATCAGCGTAGCGCAAGTAAACGTTGGCCAACGATCGTTTCTGTTAAAGCGGGTCGTCAGGTATGCGCGCTCTCGCGTGTCCGCGATGCATTTCTTTATTACTGCCAGTCGCTCGTCTATCTGCGATCTCTTTGCG